GAAATCTTTACAATTTATGTTCTTCTGCTGTGACTTCAGCCGGTCCCTCCGTTCAGGGTCCCTGACTTCCCGCAACACATTATGTTAGTCTTCTATTGCTATGGTGACAGATGACTAAAAACTTACTGGTTTAACACAATGCAGATTCATTTTCTTACAATTCTGGAGATGAGAAGTCCTTTCTGTGGCTCATTTCTCCTTCCCTTGGTCTTCAAAGCCAGCTGTGTTGGCCTGATTTCTTCTCATGCTGCCATTTCTCTGGTTTACTCTTCCTTAGTCACATCTTCCTCTTCCATTTTTAAGGACCTTTGTGATTCCACTGGCTAACTCTGACTATCTAGGGTAATCTTCTTTTAAGACCAGCTGATTAGTAAATTTAATTCCATCTGCAAACTTAATTCCCTTTTGCTATGTAACAACATATTAACAGGTTCTGGGGATTAGGATATGGATGTTTGGGAAGCTATTCTTCTGTCTGTCATAACCACCACTTCTATTGCTCAGTAGATCTGAATACTGTTTTCCTCCCACTAGTCTTTTCAGTTCCACTTCTACTAAACATTTGATCCATGATATTTCATCCAACTGTCATGCTGTGGTGAGAGCATCTGATTGGCTCAGTGTGTTTATTTATACAGGTCTTTTGTATGTGGCTCTTTACATGCCATTGACTCAGAAGTTAACAGCTTGCAGGTCTGATAAAAGTCCTGATATAATTGGTTAGAAGTCAAGGACAAGGCTATACATTAGAATATTTCTAGCCATATGTAAGGGAGCTCCTATTTCATCAGGGACTGTCAAAAGGAAAGCATCCCTCAGAAAGATGTCTGTGGATATGGCAGAAATCTTGATTGCTTGTCCAAGCCAATTTCCATGGAACGAAAGTACACATGCAAGTATTGGGAGATGGGGTTGTCAAAATTTACGTATCTAAGATTTAATATGCAGAAATTTGACTGTTTCTCTTTAGGGAACTTAACTTGCTTATGAGCTGCCATTCTCTTCCCTAGGAGTGGGAAAAATTAATCACTTGAATGTTAGCCTCTTTCAGATCAAAACAACCTTTTGTGGTCCACTAAGGATTTAGTAAGTTCTATCTCTTTTTTGATATTTCTCTAATCTTCTTTACTTTGTTTCTCAGTGCCTGGGCGTAGGGAGAAACTTATGTGACAAGATATCTGGTGTATTTGCTTGCTTTTGTTCTCTTGATATAGATAGTGAACTTCACTGCTACTTAGAACTTGGCCAATCTTCTCAACCTGCTTAGGGCCCCTCAGCTCTAGGTGATTCTTTACCATTATCCTTCAGCTGGGCATCTGCTTCCCACTTTCCATCTCTCAGCTTCTGCATTAGAATTTATTTGATCGTGTGCAGAGCCTATCTCCTAGCAGACATACTGACCCTTGTTCCTTTCTTGCTCATTTCAAAGGGCTTTCTTAAATTTCCACATCCTGCTGAAGCCAAGCAAGATTCAGGGCATAGAGTGGTATTGCAGATTCACTTTGCCTAAACATGCCACATTTTACCATTCACCTTCGGCTGCTCTGGGCATTGGTTTGCTCTTTTATGATGAAGTGCGATTCAGACTCCCTCCAGGTATTCTACAGCCTGAATCCCATTGTTCTCACTAATACAATGGTTAATTAAATGTATATTATAGATTTCTTAAAGTGAATAAATAATATAATGTATGTGAAACACCTAAAAGTGATATAGAGTAGCTGCCTAAATTGATTGCTAATAATGATATAGCTGGGTGCAGTGGCTTGCACCTGTAGTTCCAACTACTTGGAAGGCTGACATGGGAGGATCACCTGAGGCCAGGAGGGCTAGGATGATTGCCTCTGTGAATAGCCATTGCACCCCAGCCTGGGCAATATAGTGAGACCTGTCTCTAAAAAACTTTTTTTTTAATAAAAATTTTTAAAAAAATTTAGGTCATCTAAAAGCTTGGAAGCATATTTAGTTTTGAGTAAATATTTCTGGGGCATCTGTATTATGATTTCCAAGAGGTTTCTTTAGGAATTTTGTTAAGCAATTATATCATTGAGTAATATCATTTTTTAGATATTACATTTGAAGTTATTTTAAAATGTATAATTGTGATGATTATCTTGGAACTGTGGACCTAATTAGAGCAAAGTGACTTAGAACAAAGATTATGTTAACATAGCTAATTAGCATAATTAACATATTATTTTAATTATAACAAAGATATTTAGAACATAGATTACGGTTTTTCTGCCTATCTCACAAACCATAATCTGTGTTGTCATCACAGAGAAACTTGGTCTTTGAATGTTACAATGGAAGTACATTAAAGCCAGTTGGTTAAGATTGTAGGAAAGGAAGAATGTACAGGTGACAAATATTCTTTTTGTTAAGACTTACATCAGGGTGGCAGCAGGAGAACTTGAACTGTAGGAAAACTAAAGCATACAAGTGTATCAGGAGGAAAAGCATCCTGTTTTGAACTCTCTCTATATGCTACATTCTTTCTAGTAGAGAAAAAACGAAGGCCAGTATTGCACAGCATGTGAAGAGTTGACATGATTGAAATGTAACTCTGGTGCCAAAAACTCATATTATTTCCACTGTGCTATTTTTCCTTCAAGAAAGAAATTGGATAAAATGGCAAAGCAGATAATTATTTACAAAACAGTAAGCTGAAGAAGAGGAAAAGATACCTCAAGATGTGTTTGAAATATTAATACATGAAATATTGTAGAAATATGTCTTAGTGATGGAAAGAGTTGGAAATATACACATATTATGAAAATATATTGTGTGACCATAAAACTCCATATGAAACCTTCTATTCTGAAAATTATTTACTAAACATATATCAGGAGAGCTTTGCAATAGCTCTTATGACAACAAAGATGATTGTAGTCTTTGGAACCAGAAGCAAGAGCTAGTTTTTTTGGGGGAGAGTGATATAATTTTAATTTATTTTTATTACCAAAGAAAACATTTCAGTTGTGGCTTTATATATAAAATAATACATCCAGATATTTACACTGGGGGTTCTAGACTTAAGCTTCTTGACTTATTTGTTTTCACATTTATTTGTGAGTTAGATCTTGTTTTTGTTAAGTAGTTAAAAATTATCCTAAAAGGAAATTTGAGAGATATAAATTTATATATTTGAGTAGATACATACTTGAAATAAATTGTTTCCGTGGACTTGTAATCTATTTATTCCTTAAAGTACCAAACAAGTAATATGTCTGGCACATGTATGAAGAAACTTAATAAATGACATTACTTGAAGTATAGATTGCACATCTGAACTAATCTCCACCTATGAAGCGTATTGTATTCCCTATACCACAGGAAGGAGGTTAGACTGCATAGAGAAATGAACAAGGTATTATTGGTACAATGCACAGTACATTTCACACCAATTAGCTCTATTGGTTTTACTGCAAAGAACTACGTATCCTGGATCAATTAAAGTGATGTTGAAGTTTATCTATTTGTACCCCAAATCAATTAATCAATATTCCTGAATCTTATCTTAGTCTGAAATGAAAGAGAAAGCTTTGCATTGGATGAAGTTTTTCATGGATGACATGGGTCTTAAAAAAAAAAAAAAAAACAGAGTTCAATAATCTGCCCGTTAGCAGAAAGCATAAGCAATCTAGTAAAATGCAGGACTCCTGGATGAATCCAAATATGGAGATTTTGTCACTAAATTAACGTGCCTTGAGTACTTTGAGTGAAAACCTACAAGTTCAAAGTTCACATGAGTATGGAAGAACCTCATAGTGTGAGTGAGTCACTTTTAGGAGTAAAAATGGATTTAAATCTTTACAAAATATTAATTTTAATTTCAAATAAATTTTAATTTCAAATAAAAAATTGTAAGTCCATGTAAAACTAATATGCTCTGTAGTCAATAAATGTCAGTATGTATCTGTGTTCATCTGAAGCCAGTATGCACCAGTGTTACCAGTGTGCAGCTGGGATCATACTGTAGAACCTGTTGGTAGTAAAGCAGAATGTTGGAGTTGTGCCAGAAAAAAGCAGGGTTGAACTGGTTCCTGTATGTGCCTGGATTCACTTCTCATAAGACAGTAAAAACCTGCCAGGTCCTGGCTTTCAAAGATGGTTTAGTCATGCATGTGCACCCCATCTGTTGGATGCATGAGGGATTTCCTTCTCATCTCAGCCCTCCAGCCACAAACACTGTGACTGCTTCCCCTCCAACCGCCCTTTCTTTAATTCTTCCTCTCCTGCTGAGAGTGTACAGGCTGTGTAAGACAGGTGCAGCTTATGCCACTCTGGGGAAATCCTTCCATAGACACTAAGGTGAGCCAGAAAGGTAGTCAAATTTTTCTTTTGGCACCTAGCTTAATTTCAGTGTGCTTTAATTCAGTGATTAAAAACTAACAGCGGCATTTACTTTGATAATAAAAAATAAATATGCCATTACAGTTCTAGCCAAAACCTTAATGACCTTCATCTCCTCTATATGTGAACTGTCCCTAAAGCTCCTCTTGTTATCTGGATGAACATGGGCAGGGGCTTTATATGTATTCTCTCTCTCTCTCCATTCTGTAGCACATAACCCTTCCTCCTACCTTTGTTTTCCACACTCCTCCAGGTTTGACCTCCCATGCTCCACTTTGCCTTCTGTTGTCTAGGATGGTACCCTTTCTCTTACGATGCTGATGACAGATAATACCCAGTTTCGAGATTGGACAGTGCAGCATCAAGCTTCAAAATTGCATGTACAAACCATTGTGGTACAAGACGTTTTACAACCTGTTAACATAACCTCTGTTTTGGCAAGCTGGTGGTCTTAGAGCAAATTTATATTTACATATTTTTTCCTGACACACTCAAATTCCAAAAAGATCAATATAAAGAAAGAACAGGGTGGTGTTTCTAATCAGTTGTTTATAGTTTTAAATACATTCTAATGAGAACTTGTAAGCCAAATAAGTAACTATTGTTCTTATTGTTTTATTGGTTTTTTTTTTCCTTTCACATAGATTTATGAGAAATATCAAGATTTGTATACTGTGGAACCAAATAATGCACGCCAGCTGGTAGAAATTGCAGCCAGGGATATTGAGAAACTTCTAAGCAACAGATCTAAAGCCCTGGTGGTGAGTTTAAATCGGATCTGCTCATTTTATTATTTTCCTTACTTATCTATTATTTAATTTTCATGCCCTATTGAGGGGTTTTCTTTGGTATGCGTTCTTCTTCTTAGTAACTGTGTTCGTCTGATATGTTCATGAAAGATGAGATATTATGGTTTAATTGCAAACCCTAAATATTTCTAATTTTAGTTTATATTACTATTATATTTTAATAATATATGTTTAATTGATTATATGTATCCATATGTACATCATGATACATAATAATAAATTGAACATGTCTAAATCCATATGTACATCATGATAGATAATAATTGAACATGTTTAAATCCGTATGTACATCATGATAGATAATAATAATTGAACATGTTTACACTATATAAAACCCAGAATATTATCATCCTCTTTAGTTGTATAGTCTCTTATTCCATCACCCTTCCTCTCTGCTAGAGGTGGCCAAAATGCTAGATATTCAAGTTACCATTTTTTTCTTTTTAAAAATAGTTTTCCCCCACAAAAATGCTTTGCTGAACAAGTTATTCTTTAGTTTGCTTACTTTTTAGCATTATCAAATTCATGTCACACTGTATGTAGTCTTCAGCTACTTGGTTTTCTCCATCAATATTATGTTTGTATGATTTATATGTATGTTTGCACTTAGATTTAATTCATTCTTTCAGTTAAATATTATTTTATAAGGATGTATCTCAATTCCTTCATTTAGTCTCTGTAGGTAAATTATTTGGATTATTCCAGATGAATGCTATTATGAATAGTGCTGCTGAATTTTCTTGAACAAGTCTCATAGTACTTATGTGCAAGAATATCTGTAGGGTCAATACAGGAGAGTAGAATTGCTAGATTGTAGT